CACAACTTTGAGAGATTCTTCCATTATTGACAGTGCTTTCTTGTCTTCTAAAGACATGCCGAGGCTCTGCCCATACGTACTTTCACTGAAATCCATCTCAAACATCTTCTCTACCGTTCGGCCGAGGAATTCATCCTCTTCACGAACAAAGAACGCACTGAATTCACTTTCTGACGTTGTTCCCATGGGACCTGCAACTGACCACCCAAGCGGTGTTCGTATAGCATAAGGCTCCTTTTTACGTCCGCGTCGTTCTTCCATCTTCCAATGAGCTTCTGGTACGTCAGTGCCAATAAGAAGAGTCACCTCTGGATTTTTCAATTCGGGAATATGTACGTCATTTAGATGACTCCATTTGCTAATATCTCCTTTGGTTGGAATGCAACTTCTCGCCACAGATAAATCCTTAATTGATAGGGCATTAGGAATTTCTAAGCAATCCTTTTGGCCAAGACCTTGCACATAGAGAAAATGCGACTTCCCAGACTCTTGAGAAACCTTGTTCATGGTCGTTAGTTTAAAATCAAGAGGTTGACCTTCCAATCCAAGCTCATTCACCAAACTCTCTTTAACCAATGTTGTGTTGGAACCTTCGTCCCGTATGGCATAGGTGATTTTTTCTCGCGAATTGTCTCTGCTAGATACTTTCACGGGAATAACTCTCAAACATACTTGCCGTTTTGCTATGTCAGCTGTACCACAGTGACCATTTTGTGCATTTAGACCTTTGGGCTTGGCCGGTGATTCTTGATCTTTATCTTTATCAACTTTCGTGGAATCTTCTTCTCGTTTGCTTTGGTTAGATTCAGTTGAATGAAGCAAGGGATGATGTCGTCTACCGCATCCCGCAATAAAACACTTACGGCCTTTCTGGCACTTGCTAGCAAAATGTCCCTTTGCCAGACAGAGATTGCACAATCCCTTTTCCGAGACAAATTTCTTTCTTTCAGCGTACGATTTTTCTTGGAACATATAACATCTACCTAGCGAATGGCCTTCCTTACTACAGAAAATGCATTTTAACTTCATTGTTATGTTTCGTTTACCATCTTGTTCTTCGTTTGACGAAATATTCGACACTTGATAAGCTGAGACGTTCCTCTGTTGTTTACCATAAGACTTGGTTTTGTTCCTTTCCCAGTCCATTTTAACATTAACAAGCCGACCATACTCAGTATTTGCCAACTTAGCTTTGTTTACTACAAACTTTGTGAGTGCTGCAAAATCTGGTTCACTTCTTTGATCTCTAAGCTTATTCGCCTCTTTGGCCCAATCTGAACGGAGGTATTTTGGCAGCCGTAAAACAATCGCGCTGATGTTGTGTCTTGAGTTTATATCTGATTGGTAGCCCAATTTGTTCAAATTCATTCCACAGTTTTCCATGTCTCGGGCTAACTGCATAAGCTTTTCACTCTCATTTTCTCTAATTATAGAACCTTTCGTCACTCGATCAATGTGAGAAGCAGCCACAATATGAGCCTGCCCAAACATTTCATGCAAAATAGACTTTGCCTTTTTGTACCCCTCTTCCGGCGGTAACATCACAGATCCACTGATGGCTTCCTTTGCTTTTCCCGTACAGAGTTGGATCAAATAAGTGCGTCTAACGTTGGGATCGCTTTCGACGTCTTCCACATTAGTCTTGAAATTTGTTGTAAAGCTAGGGTAGTCTAATGGATTCCCATCGAAAGACATATATTCGCGTTTAGGCATCACAAAACCTTTATTTATTGTCGACCCAATTGTAGTTGCCATCAATCTCAAAGCTTGTTGTTGTTGTTCGAACATCTGTTGACTATCGGAAGTTGGATGTTCAAACTGACGATTATGGGAATAAACATTCCCGTACTGTGGACACGAACTTTGAACTGCATCCTGATACATCGTTGGAACAAAGTTAGGGTGAACTAATTGGGTATGTTGATCCGTTGTATAACCTCGCTGGTACATTTGTGTTGTGGGCACTTGGGGATTCATAAACGTGTTATTGTATGTTCCATATGACATTCGAAACTGTTCAGCATTATATCTTGCATGACTAAAGAGTTCGTCTTTTCGATATAATTCTCTACTCTCGGTCTCCCGTCGCTCCGCTTCTTGACGTTCAGCATCTCCTCGCTCCGCATTTCGTCTTTCCGCATCTCGGCGTTCCGCATCTCGACGTTCCGCATCTCGACGTTCCGTTTCACGTTGTTCCGCATCTCGACGCTCCGTATCTCGACGTTCCGCTTCACGTTGTTCCGCATCTTGACGTTCCACATCTCGACGCTCCATATCTCGACGTTCCGTTTCACGTTGTTCCGCATCTTGACGTTCCGCATCTCGACGCTCCGTATCTCGACGCTCCGTATCTCGACGTTCCGCATCTCGACGTCCCGCATCTTGACGTTCCGTTTCACGTTGTTCCGCATCTTGACGTTCCGCATCTCGACGCTCCGTATCTCCTCGCTCCGCATTTCGACTTTCCGCATCTCGACGCTCCGTATCTCGACGTACCGCATCACGACGTTCCGTTTCACGTTGTTCCGCATCTTGACGTTCCGCAGCTCGACGCTCCGTATCTCGACGTTCCGCATCTCGACGTTCCGCATCTCGACGCTCCGTATCTTCATAAGGTCCATTTCCCTCATGGTCATGACTCATCATATTCAGTTCTCTGTTACCATCATCGGAGATCTGATCATCACTATCGACTTCGAATTGTTCCAAAAGCTCAGCATGTGCTAACTTAGCTTCCATTTCTTGCAATTCCTTTCTTTCTGCAATCTCAGCGAATCGTCGTTTCCTTTCTAGTTCTAATTCTTGTCTTTGCATTTCTAGTTCTAAATGCCGAGCTTCCCTATCTAATTGTTGTTTTTCTTTCAGTTGCCTTAACTGCAACTGCAACTTGCTTCTACTGATGCCTGCATTACTTTGCCTTGACTTGACACTTAATGCAGGGGCAGACCTAGAAACTCTGGGCAAACGGGGTTCATCAATATGTTGAACAACAGAGTGGGCCTTTGGGGGCATTTGAACATTGCTGAGCCATTCAGCAGTATATTGTGTTGAAACATCTTCTCTCTCGTCTCTTACTGCATCCATATTCAACCGTCCATCATTATCCCTTCTAGACCCCATATGATCAAAAAATACACCTTTTATCACGGTGCAAGACTATTTATTCACAATAATCAAACTTTACTTGAAGAATTCACGCTTCATTAAGCCACAAATATACACAAATAATCACACAATAGCAATAACTTACGAAGAAGTCAGAAACTTTATTGTTCTTGAAAGGGATTATCCGAAACGCACCACGTATAAAATTGAATCCATATTAAATTCATATATCAATATATTTTCGTACAAAACATCGCTTTAAAGGTGGTTTCTATAGAAACAATACAAATACATTATAAACTACGCTACAAGAAACAACTTACTTTACAAATACATAGAAAACAGGACCAAAAACATGCAAATGTACCTGACTTTTGCCCTTCGTAATCCGAACAAACAATCAAATAATATAAAACCAACATGTGTTTTTATCACGTGATGTCCTGCCTGCTCGCAGGCGATTAGGCCCTACTTTTCGGGTTAGATCCTACAATAATGCACCAGGCTAGCGTGTTATCTACCAACTCAGCCTGGTTTCCTAAATAGAGCATACTATTACCCTTGAAGACATAGCAAGCTGTACTTCCTCCATCACTTGTGTAAGTTCCGTTGAACCAAGTGTGTGACAGTCTTCTTAAGTCTATTGTACTGAGAACGATTTCCTTTTTAACCTGTGTAAATTTTCCATTAGACTGCTTTTCCCATACAGTAGCCCATAGAATGAGTCCTAGGGGTATGTTAGTAACAGTTGAAATACGCGGGAAATCTGTTTTAATAGTAATTGACTCAAGGTTGAGGTCTGTCATATTATTAATAGTATCTGTTCTCCATGAAGGTGGAATCTGATCGTGACAGTAAGCATAGTACCTTGTTGCTGCAACTGATACACCACGATAACCCCAGATCCACTCTGAATAGATATGACGGTTTATTCTTACGTATCTCTTATCGGCCACTTCTTGTACAAGACCTGAGGAAGGTTTTAGGAAATTCTTTTCTACCCATTGCTTGTTAACTGCATCCTTATCATTTACCGGATCCTTTAGATCAATAATACCACTTGAATCTCCCATATCCAAATCACCCTTTACCAGTCCACCTCTATTACTCATGAACTCATTAGTTGCCCACCTTTTATTGACAGCTGAACCATCAGTTGTAGGATCACCTACTCTAGTTAACTCATAATCGTTAACATCAAGATTACTATCTAGAGTACCACCATTTCGCTTCAGGAACTGTTTACACCAGGAGCTCATAGCCTTATAGGAAACTGCAGCTGCGTCCCCAGCTGATCCACTACTAAGACCCGTGATACTATGTCCACCCATGTCAATATTACCTGTCATAGTAAATCCGCTACTACTAGTAGAACTTCCACTAACATGATCGGTGACCCATTTTTTGGACACAGCTGAATTATCAGTAGTAGGAGCACCTAACTTTATTATTTCGTTGTTATTCATGTCAAGGTCATCAGACAGGGTAAGTCCACTATAAGTTTCACGCCTTTTTCTACCACCACTAATCTTATGTTCCACCCACTTTTTATTGACAGCAGATGCATCAGCAGTAGGAGCCCCAACATTTACTATTTCATTTCCACCCATTTTAAGATTACCTGACATTTCTTTAAATCCACTAAGTTGCAAGTAATGTAATTGTAGGAATCCGCGATTTACAAGGTCTTTATCAGAAATTGGGTCCTCATAGCATAAAGGTACACTAAAGAAATGTACATTTCTTTTAACACCTCTATCCCCAGTTCCATCCAGCCTTAGGAAAGTGTCACTGTTTGATTTAAACCAGGCCTTTGTAACAACAGACTGATCTTTAGTTGGATTCCCGACATTTTCAATTTCATTTCCACTCATATTAAGAACACCAGTCATTGTAAATCCTGTTAGTTTAGCGTACGTAGGATCTAGCGCAGATATTTTATCTTCAATCCACTTTTTAGGAACAGCTTCGTTATCAATCTTAGGGTCAGATAGTCCAAAAAGTCTGTATCCAGCCATTGATATATCAGCCAACATACGACCTCCAAGAATAACAAAATTATTATCAGTGGCCCACTTTTTTGTAACAGCAGACTGATCGGTAGTTGGATTCTTAAGATTTACTATTTCATGTCCACCCATTTTAAGATCACCTGTCATTGGATTTAAACCGTTACGATTAACGTAATAGGCAAGATTTTTTTCCATGAATTTTTTATTTACAAGACCACTTGATGTAGAAGCCTCCTTGCTGGTATGTGGAGTTTTATCAAACAGGACCTCACCACGTACAAACTGATTATTACCGCCAGACAGCTTAAGGAAATTGCCGGTGTTTGTGTTGAACCACTCCTTACTAATAGCAGACTTATCCTCAGAGGGGTCCTTGAGATTTTTTATTTCATGGTCCTTCATATCAATATCACCAGCAATATCAAGTCCAGATACAGGTCTACCTAACATCCCAACTACCCAGTCCTTACTAACAGCAGACTTTCCAGTTGTAGGATTACCCAGAGCCTTTATTTCATTGGTTGACATATTTAGGTCACCTGTGAGTGTAAGACTAGATAAACTAGGAAGGTTGCCTTCTACCCAGCTCTTACTAGCAGCGTCACCGGGGTCTGTAGGATTATCAAGATTAATTACCTTATTACCTCCCATGTTAATATCCCCAGTCATTGTAAACCCTGCAGGTTGGATTGTAATAGCAGCCTGTTTAATGATCATATCATCCACCCACTTCTTTGTGACCGCAGACGTATCATCTGTAGGTGCACCTAAACCTTTTACCTCATTACCATCCATCTCAATGTCACCCTTCATGGTAAATCCATCCTTATCAAACACACTACCACTTGATGGGTCAACTTTATTTACTCCTTTGTTGTATCCTCTATACAGAGCCATTTTTATAACATACACAATGTTTCACAGAACAGTTCTCAATATAAGAAACACAACAACAGACCCGATACCAAGTCCAGCTAGAGCAGCATCACCTAAGGACTCACGCTGTGCGATAGGTGTGCTAGTCTTAGGAACAACCTGAGGTGCAACACTTACAGAACTACCTGGAACTTTCGTATTTCCACTAAGAGTATCAAGGTGGTGAACCGGTGTGCTATCCTGGTGCTGTTTCTTTGGAGGATCAACTTGCTTAACACCGACATAATTTACCTTAGGATTAAACCCAAATTTCATTGCATTAGTTGCCGTCTTTAGAAGGTTATTATAACCAAGTATCGGAGTTTTTAGAATAATAAAGTTTGATGGGATTAGAACTATTCCAGGGGATAGAGCAGTGTTTAGAATCACATTGGTGTCCCTAACAGCTTTCCTCATATTGCTAATTGTTGTTACCGTATTACTTTGTAAAATAGTAGACTTCACAATAGTTCTAAAGTCACGTTGTGTTTGAAGAGCCTTTGGACCGTTTCCTTCTATTGACCACCTTGTATTAGATTGAGATCCCAGCATAGCATACACATAGGACTCAATGCTTTTCTGGATAAGCTCAACACCCAACTTAGTAAAGCCATTGCTTTTTTCAGCTATGAATGAAAGGTAATCGCTACCAGACAATGGTCCTGCAGTAGTCGTAGCACCACTTTCGTCAATAATATAATTCTGATTTATCGGAATGTGTTTTCTTACAATGTCAAGGTTAACACCAAGTTTATCAATAGCATCCTTACTAACTGTTAACTTTCTAGTTGTGTAGTAAAGATGGTACCTCATAATGGATGTTATTATTTTAGGAACGGAATTACTTTCACGAACGTGTTCTAAGGATACACCGCTGAGATAGCTAGCTATATAAGCTCCAGACAACATTCTAGTGTATGGTATCGTATTGAAGGAAACCTTTCTTACATCCTTATTAGTTAAATTAGGACCTTCATCCCAACCCACACCAGCATTAGGGAAGTTAGACATGAAATAACTGTTTTCATTTACATAGATCTTAAAGTTGTTAAAGTTGTAGGGAAGACTTACAGGAGGTCGATATGTATTAATATGATAGCCATCATCATGAACCAGAACTCGACTGAGACCCAACTTTCTCTCATCGTAAATAGGATCCTTTGGAAAGACAAGAGGTTTATATTCTTGAACGGTGCCATTACTATTCCAAAGATGTGGCCATCCTTTTAGTTTCAGGGGAGAAGGTGTTGTCACCTTAGGTAGTTTCTCAATAGGAGGCTGTTTCATGTCAGTCATAGGTATAAACTGTGTGGGGGTAATAATTTTCTTAGTACCTGTGAGATAAGATGTAAACTCCTTATTTTTCTTGAAACCGTCATATCTAATATCATATGAAGATATTCCATCTAGATCCACAAACCATGTAACAACACCAATATCACCACTACTTGTAGTCATAGCTTCAAATTTAAATCTTCTCATATCTGCAAAAGGATAACTTGACATAAATCTAGCCCTCTCAGCATTCTCTGCATTTTTACCAGCAACAGGATCAACATGATCTTCATACTTTTTTTCATAGTCTTGGTACGACCGATACGGTGACTTACCAACTTGTCCTCCACCTAGTCTCATTCTTAATAACCTAACGTATGTTATTAAGATGAAGTTCACAATTTTACTCCAGAGTTCGCATACAGTTGTATCACTACAGAACTCAGTTCTAACAAGCAACTATAATTCAGTCTTTGTGAAGAGAGTATCAGTTTTCTGGGAGTACTTCAACATAAGGGAACCAACAACTATTCTCAAAGTGAAAACAGATGACGGAGAATCTGATGTAATTGTTAATAAAGGTTACTACACATTTGACAGTATGAAGAAGTTACTTGAAAGACACGGTGTTAAGCTAACCTACTTTGCTGAAAATGCAGGATGTCAAATAGAGGCAGTAAAACAAGATATCACAATAGAAACACGATTACTGACTATGTTAGGTTTTAATAGATTATTTAATCCTATGATTCTACTGAAAGGGAGGAGTATGACAAGTGATAGCAAAGTTGACTTTAATAATGGTCTACGAGGTGTAAATATACACTGCAATCTAGTAAGTAGCAGTTACAACGTTAACCCTTGGGGAAGACCCAGCGATGTAATAACAACTGTTACAGTTCCAACAGACAGACCATTATTAGGCTCGGTAGTTAGTTACATTGATGTTGAAAGCAGGATTTCAGTTATTAAGGGTTCATTCTCAGAACTTGTATTCCACATGACAGATCAAGACGGGAAACCTACTGATATAGGTGAAGTGCTACTTGAGATGTACCTTGAGTAGCAAGCTTACATTAGTTAATATAAGATGGATGATGATATTATGAAAGAACAGGGACTACGAGATATTTACTACAATCCTAAGACTGGATTCCAGACACCAGAGAAACTATATCTTAGAGCAGTATCAGACGGACTTAAAGTAACCAGAAACCAGGTCAAGAAATGGATAAATGAGCAGGACACATACACTAGGTACAGACAAGTATTTAGGAAACATAAGTTCAGACAGACGTACGTCCAAACTTTAGGTGAACAGTTACAAATGGATTTAGTTGACATGACAAAATATGACGATAAGAACAAGGGATACCGATGGATTCTCACATCCATTGAAATACTAAGTAGGTACGCATTCACAGTACCAGTGTACAGGAAAAACGCGACATCAATGAAGGACGCAGTCAGTAACATTTTAGAGCAATTTAATAATCATTTTGGTAAATACCCAAAATTCGCCCAGTTTGATCAAGGCACAGAGTTCTACAACAAAGAAGTAAAGTCATTGCTCAATAAACACAACATTGAATTTTTCTCCACATACTCAGACAAAAAGGCCGCAGTTGTGGAAAGGTTTAACAGAACACTAAAAGCACTAATGTGGAAGTACTTTTACAGTGCTAGTACATATAAATGGTTAGACGTCCTTCAAGACTTAACTGATAATTACAACAGTTCAGTGAACAGATCAATTAAAACAACACCGGACAGTGTAAATGAGTCCAACTGGACTGAAGTATGGAAGACACTTTTTAGTCACAATTTAGGCAAGCCGTCGGAACCAAAGTTTGCTGTCGGAGAAAGTGTCAGGATCTCAAAGTACAAATCAGTGTTCACAAAAGGGTACGAAGCAAATTTTACAGAGGAGTTGTTCACCGTGACAGAAGTGCATCACGGCCATCCAAACACGTACACAATAAAAGACAGTGCTGATGAACCAATAATTGGCAGATTCTATGAACAAGAACTGTATAGCGCTGAAGGAAGAGAACCTGATTTCAGAATAGAGAAAGTATTAAGGAGAAGAACAGTGAAGAGTAAAAAGATGGCTCTCATTAAGTGGTTAGGTTATGATGACAAATTTAACAGTTGGATACCAGCTGGAGACATCAAGTCCCTAACATAAGTTAAAGTATTATGGAGGACTACGATGACATTGAGTTGGAGGAGACGGAAAAAAGTTATCCTCAATATGACGACCTCAGTTATGATGACCTAACGACAGCTTTTAGTAGGTTAGATACAAAGGTGAAGGGAGAG